TCCTCCTCCTCGTCCTTCTCGTCCTTCTCGTCATTCTCGTCCTCGTCCTCGTCCTCCTCCTCCTCCTCATCCTCCTCCTCCTCCTATAGCAGCCGAGGCATGGTTGAAAGCAGGCTGGGCGCGGGTTCCTCATCCTCCTCCTCCTCCTCGTCCTCGTCCTCCTCCTCCTCCTCCTCGTCCTCCTCCTCCTACTCCTCCTCCTTTTCCTCCTCCTCCTCCTCATTCTCCTCATTCTCCTCCTCCGCCTCCTCCTCCACCTGTTAGCCGGACAGGCTTCTGGCGGCCTCTGACCTTATCAACCGAGCCGCGGCATGGTTGAAAGCAGGCTGGGCGCGGGCTCCTCCTCCTCCTCCTCCTCGTCGTCCTCCTCCTCCTGTTAAACGTGCAGGCTTCTGGCGGCCTCTGACTGTATCAGCCGAGTCATGGTTGAAAGCAGGCTAGGCGCGGGCTCCCCGTCCTCCTCCTCCTCCTCCTCCTCCTCCTCCTCCTCCTCCCTCGTCCTCCTCGTCCTCGTCCTCGTCCTCCTCCTCCTCCTCCTCCCTCCTCCTCCTCCTCCCCTCGTTTTCCTCCTGCTCCTCCTCTGTCTCTTCCTCCTCCTCCTCCTCCTCCTCCTCCTCCTCCTCCTCCCGGCCAATGGTTGAAAGCAGTCTCTGCGCAGGCGGGAACTGACACACCAGCAGAGGAACGGGTGAGGAGGCTAGGAGGGAGAAGAAATGCCGAGCGCTCCATGAGGTAGTGGAGGAGAACGAGGAGAGGGGAGAAGGAGGAGGTGGAGGAGGAGCAGGGATGGAGGCTCTCCCTGGGGAGTGCCCCATGGAGGTTGTCTCCCTGGCCGCGCGGGTGGGCCGAAGGAGTCTCCCGGCTTCGCCGCGACACTGCGCAGGCAGATGCCGACACCAAAGAAGAGGGATGAATGAGGAAGCATCAAGTATGCTCGCATATGTGAGGAGCCCCCGTCTGACGTCAAGGCTGTCAAAAATCAGCAAGGATGGACACACGGAAAAGGGGGAGAGAGGAGGAGAGATGAGGAGGAGAAGTGCCGAGGAGGATGGAGGTCAAAACCTTGAGGTACTGCGAGGGGTGCCCCGAGATCGTCACGTCGTTGTCGTCGATGAAGAGCTTCACCGACCTGAGACTGAGGCGACGATGGAGGAGGAGGAGGAGGAGGAGGAGGAGGAGGAGGAGAGCACAGGGCCGAGAGAAGAGAGAGCGGACAAGACGCGAGCAAGGGACAAGAGGGCAAGCGGACAAGAGCAGAAGGGGGGAGGGAAAAACGCCCCAGCACCACGCGCCTAATCGGAGAAGCGCCTGAAGCCCAGGCCAGCGTCGCATCAGCTTCTTGATGCGAGCTGAAGCCATGAGACGCAACGGGATGATCCTCTGGACAAGTGCGGATTCCTTGCTATCATGGTAGGCAGAACAGATGGTACCAATGCAAACAGCAGCAGACACCAGTTCAGATTTCGAGGCAGACAGAAGAGGACGGAACGCGGCACGCTGGGCGCCAATGGCACTGAGAAAGCGCTCGGACAGATGGGGCAATAAGGGATAGATGCACTGTAAGGAACTACACTCTGGATAATGACGGAGCGAATCAGGGCAAGTTCTGACTTTACAGAAGTGGCACACACGAGTAGGCCCTGGGAACCTGGCCGAGGTGGTCCAGGCGTTGCAAATGGTACGATAAGCACTGGCAGCAATACAGGCAGGAGCGGCTTGGGCAAGTCTGCGAACCGCCATGGAAAGCAACATGCAATCATGCATAGTCCCCGGCCGACCGAGGTGGTGTTCAGCTCTGCTAGCTAAACAAGTGGCGGCCAGATCGGACCGCCGCCGACGGAGGAAACGCTCAGTCTTCATTTGCATACGGAACTGCGCGACAGGGGGCACATGAGGGATGGCGGTGAGAACGAGATACTTATCAAGCAAGTGCGAGAACATACTAGACTTAAACCAATAATGAAGGCGCCATAAATATATACAATCGTCAGAATCGCTGAAACAATCCAGGAGGCCCCGAATTTCGAAAAAGGCAGGCGTACTACAGGCCAGCCTATACAAGGCCGCGCGGGAAACACACTGGAAGTCCCGAACCCCACAGGGAAACCACAAGCTGTTTGAATCGGTGAGCGTGCCAGTCGAAAAAGCGCTGCGCGGGGCAGGTGTGATATGTTGCACAGCAGTGTCCACAGCTCGCAGGGCCTCAGGAGACGGGCGATAGTACTGCATGACGTGCGACAAGACGGAGAAACCCACCGAGTTGAACTGCACGATGCTCTTAGCGAGCCCCAGGGACAAGTGCTTGATGGCCCGTGCACGACTGATACACTTGGTGGTGGGCGCAATCCAGCTGTCAAGGTGGCCTGACTGGCCAAGAATGATACCAAGGTATTTCCCTGACTGCACGACACGAAACGACCACGGCATGAAACCAGCATCAAGCAGCTTCTGATGAATGTGCCCGTCATTGGCGCTCATAACTCGCATGACCACTGTCTTCGAGAGGTTGAGCTTCAAACCTGATGCCCGCGCGCCGAAGTTCAGAATGGGCAGCGCGGCAGCGAGGGTAGAGAAGACATCGGCGCATCCCACTCCAAGGTCGTCGGCGAAGGCGCCGAAGACATTGACTCTCGCAGGTAGACGATCAGCAAGCATGCGAAGAATAAGGCCAAACGCCAATGCAAACAGACTGCCCGATAACGGGCACCCTTGTTTGATGCCGCGATTCACGGCAAATTGTCCGCCACGGGCGCCGCCAAAAGAAACTGATGCCCGAACATTGTGGTAAAGCAGCTTGATACTCGCCCTAATATGCGCGGGCACTGCTAGGACTTCCAAAATCCAGAAGATATACGCGTGCGCCAATGTAGGAAAAGCACTCCCATAATCAAACAAGATAAGTCCCGCATCCAAGAAGCCATGCTGGACCAGCCAGTGTAATACATAGCCTTCCAGCTGCGCAAGGCTCTGACTCATGGGGCGATTCTTGACGAAGCCGCGCTGGAAGTCCACGCAGGAAGGTTGACAAGCATAACCCATAGGCGCATTGATGACGACCGAGATCAGTTTGTTACCACTGTTGCTCAAACTTATTGGTCGAGTCTTGTCAGGAGAACGGAAAAGCACAGCATGATCAGATTGCTCGGAACCTTTGGCGAAAAAGACTGCGTCGCCTTCGTTAAAGTGAGGATTCGAAAGCCTGCCTGCTTGAAGCCCGCGATAAACGTTGTACAGAAGGTTGCGCGCGAAGTCCCCCGCACGGGTCATAGCAGAAAATGGCAACCCATCAGGACCTGGCGCAGCATCTCGTTTCTTGTAAATGAGTGTTGCGAACTCTTCGCGTTCGAGTGTCCACTTAATGTGTTCAGGAAGTGGACGCGCGCATTGACGAAGCTCGAGCCAGGCGTCAGGATCAGGAGAAACATGCGCATGCACACGGCCCCAGACGCACCCAAGATGAGCACAGACCTCATCAGGGTCCGTGACGTGTTCCCCCGAGGGATCAGAAACACCTGCGAGAGAAATACGCCTCCTGACCGAGCCCCAAGACGACATGTAGCTACCTATCTTGATCCTCTCGAGTTGCTTCTGGGGCTCGGGGATCTCCTCCTCCTCCACCTCTCGCAGCCGATCCCCGAGAAGCCGAATGTTGAGGGAGGCGAGGTGGGCGTGGAACCCAGCCAGGTCCAGCCAGAGAAGCGAGTCGCACTCAATGAACTCCTTGAGCTTAGGGTAAGCGCGAAGCGCTCGTACCAGCAGGTCAGCTTGGGCCCTATCGTGGGGCAACTGATTGACGATGCGCATGGCCACCAACGCCCACGAGATGAACTCAGGGGCGCTTGTGGCTCCAGCTCGCTCAAGTTCACGTTTGACTTTCTGGGCACCAGCGCGTAGAGTATCTCTACCTTCCTCGAGAGCCTCAAAGGGGTCCAAGGAGCTGATGCCAATCTCATCGAACACCTCCTGGCACATGATGGGGGTGCAGGGGGTGTTTGGAAATCCACCGCGGGATACTCTAGGCTCTCCGAAGCACCTTGGGAGACAAGGACAAGACAACGGGCAGGTGGTCGGACAGGGGCTGCTTCTCACAGGCTTTGCCTATCACGAACGAGTGAAGACCAGAATCGAGTAACTGAGCGGTGTACATACTCGTGTATATACGATCCAGCCGAGAGACAGACACTACATGAGCGACGCCGTGAACGGGGTCGGACTGATCGGGGATGTGAATATCCTGGCGCGATAATACCTGGCGAGTAGGATGTGGCTGCTCGATCTCACACATGCTCGGAAACAGCCTGGAAAAGAACTGGGCCATCGCGTGCGAGGAGTATACCCGGCGACCAGAAAGATGAGCGCCCGCCCCCCCTTCCGCAACGAAATTGAAGTCACTAGTGATGAAGCTCAGGGCGTGGGGCTGAGGGGCGAGCTTGCTTTTGACTAGCCTCAGGTTATCTTTTCGCTCTGCTCTATGTTGCTCAGGCTGCATATGAATATTGAAGACATGCATCGCACCATAATTGCCCGTGCATTTTATCATATGAGCTCGCCCAGGGACCAGCGCATGATAAGAGATATGGTTAAATTGAGCGCGAAGACTGGGATGAACCATGATGATGCAACCGCCAGCGGGGGCAGTTTCAGCTTCAGAATGAGGAGCGTCGCAAAACGTGCCATGCCCAAAGCCATCAACCGTTTCTTTCAGAATTTGACGTAAATCATGTGAACTGCCACGGGCTTCTTGAATGCAGACGATGGAGTGGCGAGAGACGAGATGTAGAAACCGATGCGCTTTTCCTCTCAGTAGCTGTGGCGAGGACCACTGCGAGCCGAACAGGGACTGGGCGTTCCAGGACACGATAGAAAACTTGTCACGAGGCCGAAAAGGCAGCTGCTGCGCTGCCACCGGACTCGGGCCACCCGGCGTAGGCGAAGGCGAGGAGCTGGAGGAGGATGACGACCTGGAACTGCCAGAAGAGGAGACGGAAAAGGAAGCCGAAGAAGAGCTGGAAGTACTGCTGCCGGGAGATCGAATTCGCGAAGTGCGAGGGCGCTTCAGCCCACGACTTGAAACGCCCGCCGAGGTCCCGCGGCAGGTACGCTGCGCCCCAGAGTCGGGCTGCTCGCATAGAATGCTCCCAAAGCATACCCTCACTCATGTCGAGCTGACTGTCCTGCGTTGGAGCGTGTCACAGCGAGCTACGAGGGCCAACTGCCTTACACCACTCCGTCATACTCTCCTCAGGGATCTGGAACTGCGAGAGGTGGCTGGACTCGGGCTCGAGAACCCACTGGTCGTGGTCGAGCTCCTGAATGCGGGCTACGAAGATGTCATCGTTGACCGTGACAAACAAGAAGCCACGGAAGCCGTTGCAGCCGATCTGCCAATGTTGGCCGCGAAAGTCGACATTGTGAGACTTCCTGTGCTCAACGACCCTCTGCCAGACTTGACCGAGCACTTTGTGCCGCGCACGAACGAACGGCGGGGCGTCGAGCCTGACCCTCAGCTCGACCTGGCCGAGCTTCGTGTCCTCGTAGAAGAGCCCCCTGGTCCTGGCAACATCGAGGAACTTCTTGGCCTCATCCTCATCTGGAAACTTGAAATTGTATGACTGCGAAAAGATAGAGGCGTGGACCGTGGCGTTCTTGGTCGTGCCTAGCGGGAACTGCTGCTTGACCCAGTCGGAGTGCCGTTGCAGGACACGGGCCAGCATGGGTCTCTTAAAGCCGCCAATCCACACCTTTGTTTTGTCGCCAGCTATCTGAGTCGTGCGCGGGCACCCATCAGCTTCACGATTAGGGGGGCGGCCAGAACCTCCCGCCACTGAGCTACCACCAACAGAAGAGGCAGCCGTGGAAGCCATCTGAAACTTGCGGTCGAGCTCGTCAAAATTGGCTCGAATCTTAGCGTCCGAGACGGTGTCGAGAGCCTTGTCGACTGATGATTGAAGATCTGTGTGGATGGAATCGTATTGGCGCTGCGCAATCTCGAACTTGAGGTCGCGGTCAGCCAACTGCTGCTGCATCGTGCCGACCGAGGCGCAGACCCGATTCATGGGAAGGATGAGCGCCTTCAGCCATCCAGGTAGGGCGGACGGCGCGGCCTCCCCGACCATTTCTTCGTCGGATCCCTGAGTGATCAGGTCCACCAGCGAGTCAGCCTTGCGTTTGCCGCTGTAGCCGTCGACGGGGGCCGCCCCACAGTCGCCGCCCTCAGCGTCGAAGAGGCGATCTTCATCCTGAGAAGCGGCATCCGCAGCCGCGCCAGAAAGGGCCATCGCGACAGGAGTGCTGCTGGGGAAGACTGTGCAGCAAACAGATCGGAGGTGCCGCAAAATGCGAGCGGAAGGCACGGGCACTGAAGCTCACGTGCCGCGAGGCCGGACCTCGCAAGAAGGCCGCCCTGAGCCGACCCCTCGGCAGCAACCAAGCTTGAGCCAAAATGGCTACGGCGGGAGGATGATGATGATGATGCAAACCCGTGGAGGCCAGGTCAAGCCTGGGCACGACAGCACAATCAAGCCTGGGGGAACTTGCCGCCACTCTTGGGGGGAAGACCACGAGCCAACCTGGACAGGACCTCCCACCCAGCCTTCGTGGGGGGACGATCAGTCTTACAGGGTTTGGCCAGGCTTTGCACATTGCGCCCACTAGCATGGGCACCACAATGCTCGCAAAACAGCACACCGCGGAGCACATTCAACCTATGATTGCCCGCGCACGAAGGAAACAAGGGGTGCGCGAGCGGACAGAGGAAAGGTGGGCGGGGCCGAGACAGGGACCAGGACAAAAGTCCTGGACGCGGCCCTTCAATCTGAATCGACGCTCACAGATCTGGCAGCGGAGAGCCGTGCCCTTCAAGGTCGGCCCATGACCCGCACTCCTCATTCTCCTAAGGCGGACTTGGAAGACAGGGAGAGGAGGGGGCCGAGGGGGAGGACGGCCGAGCCGATCAGAAGCTCGGCGGGGGTTCTGCTCCACAACCTCCTGATGCACCGCCAGAAGGCGGTCGGGCGTGTGAGACGTGACGCGATCAACAAACGCCGTCACATCAACTTGCTCGGGGGAGGGGGCCACGCGTTCAGTGGCCCACCCCGCAAAGAAATCAGCACACCAATTGGAAGAACTCCTCCTCCCCAATGGCGAATTGGGCCCTCTGGTGGGCCGTCGAGTGGCCCTGGGCCCACAGGACATCGACCGAACCAGGGCCCCGATCATCTAAGGCCGACCAGATCCGAACCCAAAGATCGAGCATCGAGCTGCTAGCCACGATCTGAGCTCGTGGCTGCCTCAGCCCTTTCACCAAGGGCAAGTAATCAGAGTAGCACAGTATATCACCCACAGTATGACTCACAACCATGAGAAATGCATAAAGTTCAGCTCGGGGACTGGACTGCTCCAAGGTAGGGAGATCACCGCGCATAATGGTATCCAGCTGCAAAGAGAGACCATCTGGAACCCCAAGACTGACTATAGCCCACCCGCATCGCCTCAACCTCTTATCTCTGGCGCGAACCCCTCCTGAGCCGTCAAGGCCCCACGCGCCTCCAGGAACCCGACGTTGAGCCCTCAGGGTGCCCCAGGTCCAGGTACGAGCAGAGGGTGGAGGTAGGTGGCCGCAAGATGCATCTAGGCAGGGTACCCCACGGGTAAAGAAAGCACTATGAGGGCCAGCAGCAAGGGCATCATGAACCAAATATTCACTAGTCTCAATACTCGGATCAGCCAAGTACTGGTTACAAGGACATCCCCAACAACGGTGCAGAGGTGTTTCCCGCGCATCACCACATCGGAAACAACGGCCTGAGGTCAAATATCCACAGTCCTGCAGACGCGACTCAGGCCAAGCACCTCCGACAGCAATCGAAATCAAAAGAGCGGCGCCCTTAAAGTCGCCGTCGTCGAGCAACTTCTTGTGCTTGGCACGAAGCACAGTGAGGTCAGCACCTGTCTCCAGGCCTTGCCCGCAGAAGTGCTGAGCGGCCTTGGCCCAGACAATGGACGAGCAAGACTCACGGACAACCGAGGTAAGATGATATCCGAAATCTGCATCAGTCAACCTAAGAATGACACCGACACTTGCACGCCACTCATCAACATGTCGCGGTTCCCATCCTAGATCCAGAACCGTAGCATACAGGGCTGCAATGGGACCTCGAACGAGACGCCACCGGCTCGACTCCTGCGACTTACCGATCGTGTCGCGCAGGGCCCCCAGACTCTCCGAACTCCAGACCGAAGACCTTCAGGAAGAGAAACCCAGACCCCCGAAATCAAGGTAAGTTGTTCGACACGGAGCCGATAAACATGATCATCTTTAGTATCATGCAACACTCGCAACACAGTGCTAACACAAGCCCCAGACGACCAAAACCCAGAGCACGCTGCAGCCGAGGATCTGAACTGCCCAATAGCACCCGCAGGAAGCCCAGGGAGAGCATGGCCCCAAGTACCCACCGCCAAAATGCCTGGCTTGAAAACCTTTCGAGAAGCCCCACAAAGCTTGGCAAAGTAACTCAATTTCCTGGTACGACGGAAAGCGAGCGAGCGTCTCTGCTGGACCTTCCAGGTGGATGGCCTTTTATTGGCAGTAGTGACAGATCCAAGATCCTTCACTCCATCAGCAAAAGAAATGGAGACTTCATATCTCCTGAACTCGTCCTGCAGGAGCCGCTGCAGCTCCACGGACGAGGCGACTGCAAGAGACTTAGAGCTGACGACGCACCCCAGCTCAGAGATATCATGCTGAAAATCGGCAGCGGCCTGGGGCAGGTAGCGGCAGATGAATGCAACAGAGCCTTGCAAGTACTGTGCGATGTCGTCAACATACGACCTAATTGGGACACGAACGTGTGGGTGGTCTCCAGGTCCTCGAGGGATCCTGTTATGAGCCTTCTCCAGGACCCCGTACAGGTAGCACTTGACCCAGGGCATACTCTGACAACAACCCGCCAAGATGGACTCACCAGAGGCCAACACCTTCGAAAGACTCCCAGACACTTCCGAAAGCCTCGGAGACGTGTGTACGAGGAGCCCCATGTACAACAGGTGGGCGGGGTAGTCTTGATTCACCGCAAAGTGCAGGAGCTTGCAGGGGCTCACGGAATCAAACAACTTTTCGAGGTCCCAGTGGAGGGCACAGGAGTGGAACCCACAGGTACGGGCCACTTCATGGGCCAACTCCCGAAAGAGGGCAGCCTTCAAGGCCGATGAGCCCTTGACCGCAGGGTCCCAGAAGTCTATGTGGGCCTTGTTCCAATCATCGATGTCAAAGCCTCTAGCCTTACAGTAGATCCTGTAGATGCTGGGGCACTTCACGATAGCCCGTTCATCACAGATAGACTTCGGCAGCATCGCCATGAGTCAGACATAGCACTGAGGGGGAAAGCACAGGTTCTCTTCCACAGAACGCAGGATGCCAGTGAACACTTCGAGAGAATCCACTGGAGCGTCCAAAAGAGCACGAGGCGACCACATATCAACACCGAGAGCGGTCGTCGCCCTGAAGCAAGTACACGCACGAGCAACATCAGAAACTTCGAGCAGGGGGGTATCTTCCAGAGCGACCAAGGCTTGTGACCTCAGCTCGCTCATGCCCGCATGCATTCAAACAAGACAGCTGCTGTGCGGAAGGAGTCCACCAAGACGACCACCTATCTTCACGATATATCATCCTATCCTTTGGGATGTTCACGATGCCTCCAGGAGTCTCCAAGTATTCAACCCAAACCTTCCTTTCAGCTTTCAGGTAACGATGAACAGGACTAGCTCCCCGAGGTAACGACGACGTCAACCAGGTTTTCATGCTACTCCTAGTCTTGGCATGAGCTAGGGACCATGATTTAGCACATACATCACCTGCAGCGTCGACGAGGTTTCGCAACGTACCTTCCGATCGTGGGGGGTTGTCAAGCATCTCCTTCCAACTCTCAGCGTCTTCTGGGCTGACGAGGGGCTCGATGTGAGCAAGGACGTCGGCAGCCAAGGCAGACAGAACAGTGCGGTGCTGGCGAGCAGCATCAGAGAACGGTGACTTGCATGTGAGCCGCCATAACTCATACAGCCGGCTCGAAACGAGAGACCAAAAGGACAAGTCAGGATTCCGAAAACTCTGCGCCTGCACACCGCGAGTCATCAGAGACGAGTCCTTGCGCTTCAGCATGGAACCACGACCGAGATATCTGTCGGGATCAGAAACAAGAGCGAACGCGCGTGAAAGAGCTGGCAACTCCATAGCACGAGACCAAATAAGATACTGCATCCCAAGAATCCTAGACAAGAACTCCTTCGAGTGCTCAGACATAGCCTCATAAAGGTCCTCGGGCATGACCAAAGGAGCCTCCAGGATGCTTGGAGAAAAAGGAGGAGGACGGGGGAGAACGGACGGGGAACGAGGGAGGAGGGGGGGAGCGGAACAGGAAGGCGGAGAGGAGGGGAGCAGGGCGGAGGGGAAGCAGTGGGAGGGGCGAGAAAGGAGGGACGAGGCAGGAGGCGCGAGGGAGGGGAGAAGGGATGCGCAGAGAGGAGGGAGGGATGGGGAGGGAGGGAAGGAGCAGAAAGTCAGAGGTGAGGAGGAGGCACAGGACGAGAAAGCGCGAGAGCGCGGCAGAGCAGAGCAGGAGGAAGGAGGATTAGGAGGAAGGAGGAGGGGGAGGAGGAGGAGGAGGAGGAGGAGGAGGAGGAGGAGGAGGGAGGAGGAGGAGGAGGAGGAGGAGGTTGGAGGGAGGGAGGGAGGGAGGGAGGGAGCAGGACAGGGAAGGGCGAGGAAGGAGGACTTTGACGGGCCCAAGAATGTCACCCTCAGGCCCTGGTTTCCACATCATGAGGTCGTTGTGATGGTCACACGCGCGTGGATGACACCACGTCAGCCGCGAATGCGACATGGCCGATCTACCTAAAGCCCGCCCATGGCATGATGAGACCCTGCACTGGACCAAGTCAAGCCATGCCGTAATTATACACGCCCTACCCGGTCGGTCCTACATCACCAATCCGACACCGTGCAGTCTCTATATGTGTGGACGATTGGGAATGCCTGTTGGTTGTCTGGTAGGGCTTCTGATGACAAGCTCGAATCGGCAAACTATGGATCATGAGCGGGCCCTCCGTAATGACTTCCAATCGATTCTGACCAGAGGTGGCCCGGGGGATCATGTTTGTCCGTTTGGCACTCGCCGGAACCCCTTCTCAAAAACCAGCGGAACTGATTCCGGGTGCACACGCACACACAAACACATACACACACACACACACTTACTTGTTTGGCGACAGCGGCCCCGCGCGCAGCGACGAGGCGAAGAGAGCGCAACAGTCAGGAACGCGCGCGCGGCCGGGCCCTCAACGTCGCTTCATATGCACACACACACACACTGTATACCGACTCCTCCTCGCAACGAAATGTCGACGACGGCGGTGACACACTCTCCAGCAGGGCTAGACCTACACGTTGATCTTCGTTTTGTCCTTGTTTTGCTGTTCGTTCTGCTCTATCTGTTATCCTGTACCTCCCTTCCAAAACGAAACAACAACAAAAACCAGCCGGAGTCCAGCAAAACAGCATTTAGGTCCAGCCCTGCTGAGGAGTAGGAAGAGGAGGAAGGGGGAGGAGGAATGAGGAGGAGGAGGAGGAAAAGGGAGGAGAAGCAGGAGGAAGAGGAGGAATCAGGAGGAGGAGGATGATGATGATGAGGAGGAGGAGGAGGAGAAAGAGGAGGAGGAGGAGGAGGAGGAGGAGGAGGAGGAGGAGGAGGGAGGAGGAGGAGGAGGGGGAGACGAAAGGGGGAGGAAGACGAAAGGGGAGGAGGAGGGAGGGAGGCAGGAGAAGGAAGAGGAGGAGGAAAAGGAGGAGGAGCCAGCTGGGGCGGGGGCAGGCCGTTGGCGACGGCGAAGCGCGCTGCCTCCCCACGGGGCGGAGGAGGAGGGCGCGCTCTCTTGACTGAAGGGGGCAGGAGGAGCAGCAGGGCTTGGTGCTCGTCCAGCAGAGGATGTGTCGAGCCCTGTCCCAAGCCTCGTGGAGGTTTTGAGCGGACTAGACATTCGAGGCCCAACCCTGGGACTTACGATGGGGGGGGGCGTCCATCCCCGATAGAGGTGCGTCCGAACAGCCCCCTTGGGGTGTATCTCAGGGCTTCCCCCTTCTCTGAGCGACCTAACGTTTCGGGCAGAGCCCTGGGATCGGGGAGGGAACACAGCCTGCGATCGTACTCGTCCACCAAGAGGACGGGAGGGGGGGGGGGGGGCGAGGGGGGGCGATGGGTCGAGATGGCAAAAGGTCGGGTGAGACCGCATGCGGACGGGTGAAATCCCAACCGTCCAAAGCCCCAGTCACGGTCAGGTCCCAATCGAGAAAGAAGCTAATAAAATAAATAAAACACCTTCAACAAGTATCATAGCTGCTGGTTGAAATCCGGAACCTACCTGGATACCTTAGAGGAGCGCATTCACGCGTGAGCGTTCGCGGTTCGGAACTCGTCCGTCTTTCTCTGGACCGTAGTAATAGTAGTAGTAGTAGTAGTAGTAGTAGTAGCAGCAGTAGTAGTAGTAGTAGTAGTAGTAGTAGTAGTAGTAGTAGTAGTAGTAGTAGTAGTAGTAGTAGTAGTAGTAGTAGTAGTAGTAGTAGTAGTAGTAGTAGTAGTAGTAGTAGTAGTAGTAGTAGTAGTAGTAGTAGTAGTAGTAGTAGTAGTAGTAGTAGTAGTAGTAGTAGTAGTAGTAGTAGTAGTAGTAGTAGTAGTCGTAGTCGTAGTAGTAGTCGTAGTCGTAGTCGTAGTAGTAGTAGTAGTAGTAGTAGTAGTAGTAGTAGTAGTAGTAGTAGTAGTAAGTAGTAGTAGTAGTAGTAGTAGTAGTAGTAATAGTAGTACTAGTACTGGTAGTAGTAGTAGAACCAGTAGTAGTAGTAGTAATAGTAGTACGAAGTAGTAGTAGTAGTAGTAGTAGTAGTAGTAGTAGTAATAGTAGTAGTAGTAGTAGTAGTAGTAGTAGTAGTAGTAGTAGTCGTAGTAGTAGTAGTAGTAGTAGTAGTAGTAGTAGTAGTAGTAGTAGTAGTAGTAGTAGTAGTAGTAGTAGTAGTAGTAGTAGTAGTAGTGATACTAGTAGCAGTAGTAGTAGTAGAAGAAGTAGTAGTAGTAGTAGTAGTAGTAGTAGTAGTAGTAGTAGTAGTAGCCCGAGTACCTGTAGTAGTACTAGTAGTCGTAGAAGTAGTACTAGTAGTCGCCGTCGTAGTAGTAGCAGTAGTCGTAGTAATACTGGTAGTAGTAGTAGTAGTAGTAGTAGTAGTAGTCGTAATCAGAATTGTCGTAGCCGTCGCAATGGTAATCGTCCCTGTCGTAGTAGTAGTAGTAAAACTAGTAGAAGTAGTAGCAGTAGTAGTAGTAGCAGTAGTAGTAGGAGTGGTCGTAATAGTGGTAGTAGTAGTAGTGGAAGTAGTAGTAGTAGTAGTAGTAGTAGTAGTCGTAGTCGTGGTCGTAGTCGTGGTAATAGTCGTAGAAGTCGTAGTAGTCGTAGGAGTCGTAGTAGTAGTAGTAGTAGTAGAAGAAGAAGAAGTAGTAGTAGTAGCACGAGTAGAAGAAGTAGTAGTAGTAGTAGTAGTAGTAGTACGAAGTAGTAGTAGTAGTAGTAGTAGTAGGGATAGTGGTAGTGGTACTAGTACTAGTAGTAGTAGTAGTAGTAGTAGTAGTAGTAGAAGTAGTAATGGTAGTAGTAGTAGTAGTAGTAGTAGTAGTAGTAGTAGTAGTAGCCGTAGTAGTAGTAGCAGTAGTTGTAGTAGTAGTAGTAGTAGTAGTGGTAGTAGTGGTCGTGGTCGTAGTCGTAGTAGTAGTAGTAGTAGTAGTAGTAGTCGTAGCAGCAGTAGTGGTGGTGGTAGTAGTAGTAGTAGTAGTAGTAGTAGTAGTCGTAGTAGTAGTAATAGTAGTAGTAGTAGTAGTAGTAATAGTAGTAGTAGTAGTAGTAGTAGTAGTAGTAGTCGTAGTAGCAGTAGTAGTAGTAGTAGTCGTAGTAGTAGTAGTAGTATTTAGTACCAAGTAATACGTGGGCGTGCTACGTAGTTGGTCGCACACCAAAAAATATGTATCAGTAGTGGGGGGCGTAACAGTCGTCGTATTACCATGATTAATAATAATACATGTAACAATTGCAGTGGTAGTGGTCGTAGTAGTCGTAGTAGTAACAATACTACAACGAACAATGGAATCTCAAAACAGGTCAGAGGTTCTCAGCGGTTCCCAGAATTTCCCTGAGGTTGCCACACGCCCTCCGAAGTTCTCAGAAGCTCTCAGAGGCTCGCAAAAGCTTTCAGAGGCCCCCAAAGGCTTCCAGAAGCTCTCAGCAACTCTCACCAACTTCCGAAAACTCCCACAAGCTTCAACCAGCTCTCTGAAGCTCTCAGGAACTCTCATAAGCAATCAGACACTACCTGAAGCTGTCAGAAGCTTTCAAAAGCTTTCAAAATCTGTCAGAAGCTCTCAGAAGCTTTCAGAATCTCTCAAGTCAGAAGCTCTCAAAACCTCTCAGAAACGCTCAAAAACTTCCACCGGCTGTCAGAACCGCTCACAAGCTCTCATCAGCTCCCCGAAGCTCACAGGATCTCCGACGATGTTTTCCGATTCTTTCAGAATGTGTCAGGTGTCCTCCGAACCCCTCAGAAACTGTCAGAATCCCCCAGGAGATCTCAGCAGTTTTCAGAGGCTCCCAGATGCTCCCAGAATCTCTGTGCCTCCCAGAAGTTCCCCAACAAATCAAAAGCTCTCAGACGCTCCCAGACGCTCTCAGAAGCTCTCAGAAGCTTTCAGAATCTTCCAGAATCTCTCACAAACCCCCAGAAACTCTCAGAAACTCTGACACAAACTCTCAGAATCTCGCAGAAGCACTCAGAAACTCTCAGGCGTTCTCAAAAACTTTTCAACACCTCCCAAAAGTTCTCAGAAACTTTCCGGATCTTTTAGAATCTCTCAGCACTCAGAAACTCTCAGAAGCGCTCAGACACCCCCAGAAGCTGTCACGAGCTCTCAAGAGCTCTCATCAGCTCTCAGAAGCTCCAAGGTGTGTCCGAAATCTCCCAACATCGGTCAACCTCCCTCCGGGTCCCTCAGGATCTCTCAGAATCACCCAAAAACTCTCAGAAGCTGTCAGAAGTTCTCAGATGCTCACAGAAGCTCTCATGGGCTCTCAGAAGCCCCCAAAAACTTTCAGAACCTGTCAGAAGCTCCCAGACGCTCTCAGAATCTTTCACACTCTCGATAAATCGTTCGGAATCTCTCAGAGGGTCTCAGAAGGTCTCAGAAGGTCTCAGAAGCTCTCAGCTCTCAGAAGCTTTCAGAATCGCTCAGACGCTCTCAGAAGCTCTCAAAATCTGTCAGGATCTCGCAGAAGCTCAGAATCTGTGGGAACCGTTCAGAAGCTCTCAGAAGCTCTCAGAGGCTCTCAGAATCTCCCAGAGGCTCTCAGAAACTCCCAAAAGATTTTAAAACTTCTCAGAAGCTCTCAACAACTCTCAGAAGCTCTCAGAGGCTCGCAGAAGCTTTCAAAAGCTCGCAGAAACTCTCATAATGCTTATGAGTGTACGTACAACTTTCAGAATCTCTCAGAAGCCTGCAGCATCTCTCCGGAACTCGTTCCGGATCCCTGAAGATCTCTCAGAAGCTCTCAGAAACTCCCAAAAACTTTCAGAATCTGTCAGAGTCTTTCAGGGTCCCTCGAAATCTTTCAGATGCTCTCAGAAGTTCTCAGAAGCTCGCAAACATGTTTTCGAAATCTCTCAGGACCTCTCAGAAACTATCAACACCTTTTTCGGAATCTCTCAGGAGCTATCAGAAGCTCGCAAAAGCTTCCTGAATCCCTCAGAAGCCCTCATAAGCGTTCAGAATCTTTCAGAATCTCAGAGAATCGTTCAGAATCCCCCGACATCTTCCAAACGCTCTCCGAAACTCTCAAAACCTTGTAGGATCTCTCAGAAACTCTCAGACGCTCTCAGAAGCTCTCAGAGGCCCTCAAAAGCTCCCAGAACCTTTCAGAACCTTTCAGCATCTCGCAGAAGTTTTCAGAAGGTCTCAGAAGCTCCCAGAAGCTCTCATAACCTCTTAGAATGTCGCATACATTTTCAGAAGCTCCCAGAAGCTCCCAGAAGCTTTCAGCAGCTCTCAGATCTTCAGAATCTCTCAACATATTTCAGAAGCTGTAAGAATTGCCCAAAAGCTTTCAGAAGCTCTCATAAGCTCACATAAACGCTCAGAAACTCTCACTCAGAAGCTCTCCGAATCTTTCATCATCTGTCAGGATATCTCAGAAGCTCCCAACACCTCTCAAAATCTAGCGCAAGATTTCAGAAGCTCTCAGAATCTCTCGAAATCTCACATAGGCTCTCAGATGCTCGAAACGTTCCCCTGGAGCGGTTGGGATCTCACCCGTCCCAGCTGTGTTTGGCGGTTGTGATCTGACCCGTTCCGTTGGGATCTCACCCGGCCGGTTGTGGTCTGGTCTGACACTTTCCCGCGAGGGGGGAGGGGGGCGAAGGGGGGCGAGGAGGAGGAGGCAGTGGGAGAAGGGGGGCGAGGGGGGCGAGGAGGGGCGAGGAGGAGCGAGGAGGGGCGAGGAGGGGCGAGGGGGGCGAGAAAGGGGCGAGGAGGGGCGAAGAGGGGGCGAGGAAGGGGCGAGGAGGAACGAGGAGGAGGAGCGGGAGGGGGCGAGAGGGGCGAGAGGGGGGGGGGGGGGGGCGAGGATGGACGAGGGGAAGCTGGGCCTCCTCGACCTCGCCACCTCGAACCCCTGGGCCTTCTCCTCCTGGCCCCCCCCTCATGCACCCCTCCAGGACAAGGGGGGCAAGGGCGAAGGGGGGGGTGAGGAAGATGGGGGAGGGAGGAGGAGCAGGAAGGGGAGGAAGAGGAGGAGGAGGAGGAGGAGGAGAAGGAGGAGGAAAAGCAAAAAGGAGGAGGAGGAGGAGGAGGAGGAGGAGGAGGAGAGAGGAAGAGGAGGAGGAGGAGGAGGAGGAGGAGGAGGAGGAGGAGGAGGAGGAGGGGGAGGGGGAGGGGGGAGGGGGAGGGGGAGGAAGGGGAGGAGGAACATCCCAGTGAAGGAGTCTAGATAGGGCCGCCCACGCGGCGCAGCCCCACGAAGCCAAAAGACGGTATCACACGCAGGCCGCCTCGCATGCTCAAGCCGCAGGCGTCGGCCTGGCAGACAGTCCGCCGCTTCCTCTTCTGCAGAGTCCGCGGGTGAGCTCTACACACCCAGGCAGGTCGTCGTCGTCGTCGTCGTCGTCGTCGTCGTCGTCGTCGTCGTCGTCGTCGTCGTCGTCGTCGTCGTCGTCGTCTCGTCGTCGTCGTCGTCGTCCTCGTCGTCGTCCTCGTCGTCGTACGCGGTTGTCCTCGTCGCGTGGGGCCGCACCCCACCGCCGCGGTGGCCGACGGGGCCTCGCTGGCCGCCGCACCACTCCGCCGTGGGCGGAGCCTGGGCCCGCCGCCTCCCGCGCGCGGCCGCACCGCCGCCGTGGGCCAGAGTGGCCCGCCCCCCCCCCCCCCCCGAAGAGCTCCAAACAATACACCACCACCAGCCCTTGCCAGGCCCATCCTGGGCCCTGGACTGGTGTGCAGGCCCTCCTGGCCGAGGCCCGGAGGTCTATACACCAGTCCAGGGCCCAGGATGGGTCTGGCAAGGGCTGGTGGTGTATTGTTCGCGTCCCTCCGCCCCCCCCCCCGCCCCCATCATGACAGGTCAGACAGCCCAGCTCTCGGCGAGCCGCCCTCAGCAGACAGATGAATGGGGCCCTGGGACACACAAATAAGTAGACACAAATAACAAGATTCCTCATATTTTCCCATAGTTTCTGGGTGTTTGTCTCCACCTAACTTTCCATATTTTCCTATATTTTTCTGGGAGTCGACGATTCATTGTGTCTGTGTGTTTTTCTCTCCTGTGATGCATGGGGGGGACGTGCACCTGTCAAGAACCCCTTTAGGACCCCTCTAATGGGAGAACCACAAGGTGCCCATACGGGTACTCCCTGAACCTCTCCCTGGATGAGTTCTGGCTAGAATGTCAAGGCGAATCCAGTGTTGGCGACGAGGGCCCCCCAGGAGGCCAAAAAAGAGGAAAACGAGCGCAGGGCAGTGGTATGGGCGCCTTTGTTTCCTCCTCTGATTTAGCCCGCAAGAGGTGCACCTTTCTCCCCCCCCCCTTCGTCCCATCTCTATTACCCGACGCCCGAACGGAACAAGGCCCAGGACTCCGAGCCAGGCTCCCGCTGGCCATCGCTCGGACGTCCATTCCCTGTGTTTTTTTCGCTTTCTTGCGCGGTCGCTTCCCAGGATGATCCAGGATGCTCCGAAAGAATCCCCGCCGAGGACAAGTGCACACGTCCAAGCGATGCCAAGCCCGAGGAACCCGCCCTCTCGCTACTTGGGGTGGGCGCCTCGTGCCTCGGGTCGGGCAAAAGGGGGGGATAGCAAAGGGGGGGGTTTGAGAATCAGCTCACGTAGCTGATTTTCCCGGCGCCTCCCGGCGCCGGAGGCGGCTATGTATCAAGAAATGGGCCCCTTGGTGAGGCCGAAACCAGCTGCAAGCAGCAAATTTCGTAACCCCCCCTTTCCCAATCCCCCCCTTTCGCCCGGCCCGAGTGCCCTCCGACGTCATTTTCGGCCTCGCCGGAGCTTAGCCCTGAGGCAGGGCCGCCAGCACCGCCTCTCGGGGGGGCGCCCTCCCTCCTCCTGGCCATCGCTCGGACGTCCATTCCCTGTGTTTTTTGTTGGTTCGGTGTCGTGCGTGTTTTTTTTTCGCAGGATGATCCAGGATACTCCTTAAGAACCCCGCCGAAAAAAGTGCACGCGCCCGAGCGATGCCAAGCCTCGGGCAGGGCCCCTTCCTAATCCAGAGGAAAGAGAGCTGTCCACATACACCGATTCTCACCAGGCCCATCCTGAGTCCAGGATCGGTGCATGCGCCCGCCTGCCTTGGCCAGGAAAGTACATGCACCGATCCTGGGTCCAGGATAGGCCTTGCCAGGATCGGTGCATGTGCATGTGCATAGTTTTAGGTCGGGCATGTCCTCTTACAGGTGGCTGTTGGATGACAAATGAAAAATAGCCCAGAAATATTCGAAAACAGTACACACCCCAAAAAACGTTCCCAGACTATTGTTTGACTGTATTTGAGTAGTCCTCCTGTAGACGGACACGCCCGACTTAAACACAGTTCTCTTCGCCCGAGAATGGTCGACGGGTCCCCGTGACCTCTCCGAGCCTTAGCAAGACAGCGGCCGGCCAGGTGTCCGGAGACGGCCGCTCCGATGCGACCACGGCCCGTACAGGAAGGAAGCAAGTGACCAGACCCAAAAACTCGAGTAGAAGGCAACTACTGCAAGGTCTTCGTCGGAAGGATTAGGGAGGATTAAGCCCCATTGGGGGGCTCTTACGCTGGAGTGGGCCTCGGATTAAGCGGGATTTAACCGGATTAAGCGGGATTAAGCGGGATTAAGCCGGATTAAGCGGGATTAAGCCCAATTAAGCCAGACTTCGGACCAGGGCAAAATCAGAATTTGACCTCCCAGGAGTTGCATCTAAAGGGATCGACTACAGAATTGATTTACCCCAAAATGGACTTTCCATTGAATCTGCGAGAAATACGTTGGATGCTCCGTAGATCTAATGAGCATCCTACGTATTTGTCGGGGAGTCGACGGAGAAATTAACTTCGGGGTGAATCGATTCTGTAGTCGATCCCCTATTCGAAGCATGCATCATGTGAGGGGGGGTGCGCAGCAGGCTCAGGGCACACAACATCTCCTTCGGAGGTGTCGCAAGGCCCCGAACAGCCAGTTGGGACCAGAGGGAGTAAAGGAGGCCTGCACGCCGTCCTGCAGAACCCCTCCAGTTACTCACGGCGCACAAACTGCAAGCACAGACTATGTCGCCACTTCTTGCCAGCCGCTGACGGGAGAAGGGAGTCTGGTCGAACAAGAGGCGAAGCCGAGACTTGGGGGGAACTCTCACGACTTGCTCCCTCCCCACTCGCTCGCTATCCGCCTCCAACGACAGTTCCAAGGCACGCCGCGCCCTGGCTCTGATCAAAGCAGCCCTCGCGTCCTAGGAGTTCGCGTGGTCGGCTTCGTGGCTGCAAGCCTCATCCAAAGCCACCTCCGCCGCCCTCCACGCACCCTTGTCAGCAATCATGTTACCTGGGCGGCGCCGGAAGCGCCGCCAAGGGGGTCCAGCGCGGATCCGAGAAAACCGCGCGGGCCTCCGAGCTTTTATGTTTACGTCATTGTTCGCTTCCCTAAAGAAGGGAACCCCGATCACTCTCCCAGGCCAGCACCAGGGCCAGAGTTCCGGCCCGAGGAACCCTTTGCTCAAAACCGACCGAGGATGCGGCTAGCATCGCGGTCACCTGCCACCCCTCGGAGCCCCAAGACCGAGCCACCGCTGCTCCACAACGTCTCCTCCTAAGGTCTTCGAGAACTTCCTCCCCGACCCGTCCCCAAACACCGTCACCACCCCCCTCCACCCTATAGTCTCCATGCAGCCCTCTCCCGAGTGGAGATCAGATCCTGGAGCTTCTCCTCATCGAATTGGGGGCAGGTGATATCCTGAGACGGAAGCCCACGGAACCCGAGCCCAGGATGGTTGTCATGGCCTGCTAGGGCCTGTGGGACCAAGGAATCCGATCTGCGGAACTCAAGAACATCGCGGCAAGACTACCAGTGCCTACACATGCCCCAATCTGGCTATTCAAGGGCGCCACCATAGACAGCGCATGCTAGTGTACAGTACTGCTAACAGCACAGCCACCGCCGCGGAATGCCAGTGCAGATAACATACTTGACCCAAACTGCGGCGACCAACAGTACAGGCTATGGGCACAACAACAACTGCGAAACCCAGCAAGACAACATCACACGCGATTCTCCGGCAGCCTGGTGGCAGGGCCTCGTCAGAGAGAACCGAGGCCAGTCAGCGCTACCAAACACCGCACTGACATCGGTGACCCTACAGCATGTCCCCGACCCCTGCTTATCTGCACCAACACCACATGCTGGCCGCAGACGGAAGAAGAGAACCAGGAAGACCACGCAAATGACCAAAGGCCAGCTCCAGAAACCAGACACCCGCGATCTCTCGCAACCGACAGGCTGGCAAGGTGGGGCAGGCTTGACCTTGCTTGAAATTTACACCGAAATCTAGCCCGAGGGGGTGCACGCTGCAGGGCGCCCTTTCATGAGGTACTGCCTGCTGCCAGTCGCGTGGGACTCGCAGTTCACACACACACACACATACACACACACACGCACGCACGCACGCACACACACACACACACACACACACATTCTCACAACAAAAAGGTTTCCCTGCTCGAGACCAACATATCGCGGGACGGGTGGACACAGGAGGCTCGAATGAAAACAGTCCGAACGTGCTTCGCATCAGGAACGGCAAAGCTCTGCAGGCACGCACGCAGCAGGGGGAGCGGGGGGAGGAAGCTGACGGCGAAGGAGGGAGAGGACGAGGACGAGGACGCGGAGAAGTTGGGAAACCGACCACGAGGACGAGGAGGAGGAGGAGGCGGAGGTAGAGTAAAACGCGGCGCAAGTGCGGGAGGAGCAAAAGAAAGCGAAGGAGGAGGACAATTCGGAGGGAGGGGGGGAGATGAGGGAGGGAGGGAGGGAGGGAGGGATGGCCGCCACGGGCCTCAGCGTTGTTGCCCTCCATCTGCGAGCCATCAGAGCCGAGGCAGCACACGATCTTCCCCGGCTGCGCCCGGCTGACGCCGTTGAGGTGCCCCCACAGGTGCCTGCGCGAGGGCGCCCTATCCTCGAGGCAGTGCGTTTTGCGGGCGCATCGAGCTGAAAAACTGGATCGGACAAGAACGGGAAGCGCCGCCCTGTTCTGTGGCCATGTGGCTCGCTGGGCAGGCGTTGAGGGCAGCGCGCAGAAAGCACAGGAGAGCGAGGATGGAGTGGAGGGCTATGGGGGGATGGGAGGGACAAGGACATGGAGGAAAAACATTGGGAAGACGAGCGCGTGGACTTTCGGGCCGTCTTGGGGCTCTCGTGGGCGGTCGGGATTCCTCGTGGAGCCTCTTGGGGATCCCTTGGAGGAGCTCTGAAAGCTTCTTGGGCCCTCCTGGGCTGTCCAAGCGCGTCTCCAAGGTATGTGGGGGATCCCGTGGGCCATCTTAGCGCCCTCGTCGGCCGTGTCGGGGCGTGTTGGGCAGTATGCGAGACTCTTCGGGCGTTTTTGTGAGCCTCTGGGGCGCCTCATGGGAGCCTTTTGGGGGTCCATTGGGGCGCTTCCGGGATCCTCTGGGAAGCCTTTTTCGGGCTGTCTTGGGTCGTCTTGAAGCCCTCCGGAACGATTCGAAGATGATGTTGGTTCGGGGCTCCATACGGAGACGATTGCTAGAACATGTCCCTACCGAAGCGACCATTGTTCATAAACTCATCCTGACATTATATACTACAAGCCTCGTCAAAAATAAACAGAAACGCAATTGGCAATCACGACGATCGATCTTCTCGGGCACTTGTTTGAAACTGCGTTCTTCAATGCTGCGGAGGGGTCCTCGGATTTTTGAAGCCCTTACGTCCACGTCAGATATCTAGCGTCAGCATTGGAGTAGCGCTGACCATACAATCACCGAAAACAGAATCCGTCAGTTTATTTTTGACGAGGGTTGTAGGTGATATTATGTCTCAGATCTGGTCACCTAAATTCCGATCGTCCCTCGCGGCCCGCGCCTCGGGGCCCGCGCCCGGCGCGCGCCGCCGCAAAGCCCCGCGGTGCTGCGGCGGTTCAGGCGGGCACTCCGGCACCCGCGGGAACGAGACCCACCGCCCGGCGGCGAAGAGGACGGCCTTGTACGAAGGGGCCCTGGGACACACAAGTAAATACACACAAATAAAACGATTCCCCATATTTTCCTATATTTTCTGGGTTTCTGTCTTCCCCCCCACTGCCCATATTTTCTGGGAATCGACGATTAATTGTGTCTGTGTGTGTTTCCCCTCCTGATTGTGCTTGTCGGGCACCTCGTCGCTCATCACAGCGTTATTCTGGCATCGCTCGATGTTCGCGGCCAGGCGTTGCGTCTCGGACCAACCGACGGCGCAGACCTTCTTGGACTTCTGGGGCCAGGCGCTGAAGCCATGAAAGACCTGAACGATTCGCTCCGCATGCCCCTCGTGTGTTATGTTCACGAACGTGAGGCATGACAACGAACAGGGGCTACCTGTCCTCTGAGCCCCAGGAGACGCATAGTATCCCCTAGGGAAACGGTAAACTGCCCAGGGCGGACGCTATGGTCATCCTCAGAACGCGCAAATTACACGTAGAGCTACACAGGGCATGCCAGGTGGAAAAGAAACTCCCCTACCTGCAAAATTATGTTATACGGGTGGTGGAATTCACAAGAGTAAACTTGTGCAACCATTTGCTCTTTTTGTGAACAGGTTCGCAACTTGTTCACAAGGCCTGTTGGAGCCACCTGGGCCTATGCTTCACAAGAGCGCACCTTGTGAAATGTTGCCCAGCCACGCTGCAGAGATAAAGGCGACAGAGATAAACGAGTCAGTGATTGTCCCCGCCTCAAGACAAAATGTCGAGTGGACCTAAGGCCCAGTCATGCGAAGGACTATACAAAGGGTCAGCTGTAATGACGAAGGGGTGATCCCAAACTGCACAGGGAAATCCGAAAGGCATGCAAGTCAGTAGACGAGCGCGTCGACGTCGATATGCGCAGCACGAATTCGTTGCCGATGAAGCCGCCGGCGAACAGAACGCTACAGAGCAGACCTGAGCAGCGCAAGCCTGGGACATGACCCACAGACCAGGGCACCTCAGTGGGTCTCTCACGCCCGCACTGAGATGGTTCACGCCCTCACCTCAGTGGATCTCTCACCTCCAAACTGAGACGTCCGCGAGGCCTCGAAACCTGGAGCGCAGAAGCGCCGAGCCCATCCGGACACGACGTGAACCTTGGCCCTGGTGCCAACGACTGCACTGCAACATCCAGGCGATAGCATCAAGCTCACCAGAAGCAACCATCAGCGGCCCCAGCGCGGTCGCTGGGTCGACACCGACCGTGGATCAGCATCTCCCTCACGCCCCCCAGTCAAGGTATGTAGACGCGACCGAATTGTCTGCAGGACCTCTCGCACCCACAGACAAAGCCGATCGCCCTGGCCGCATGAGGTACGTGGCGCAGGAGGGCGAGGTGCTGGCGCGCCCGCCCTCCTGTTCACAAAAGCAGATCCCATGCGCAAGCCTCTTTGAAATTCCATTGACACATCAATGAAGTCGTAAAGCCCTAGAAAGGAAGAGGCAATGACAGCGGACCACCCTAACCCGGACCGGCGCTGGAAAGGCAACTTCTAGTCCAAGAAGTCAGCGCTGGGATCTGCCACGATGGCGATGCCGAGGCGGCAAGCTGCCACCTGCATCGTAGCTCTTCGGGGCGCGCCCCTGCCCGCCCTGCAAGCGATCCAACGCCCAACCTGATTTTGTCGTCACCCGAGGCTGCGTGCGCCTGAAAGTCGCTGGAAGCCCGAGATCGCGAGCGATCTGCACCCGCCCCTGCTGGGGAAGGGCGGGCAATTTTGGAAGCGGTGTCTGAGACTGGCCAAGAAAGCCCTGCAGGCAGCGCGGGCCACTGCGCGGCTACCTCGCACGGGCGTCTCGGCGGCGCCCCTCGGAAAATCTCGAAGTGCTTCTATGCGGTGGCATTTAGGCCCCCGCGTCCACTTGGCCCAGATCGCGTGGCCGGACGCGCCCACGCCGCCTTCGCTGACCCCCATCGGGGCCCAGGCGGCTTGCGTGGACCATCTCTAAACAGCGCGCCCACGCAATCGCACGAACAGCGCGGGCTGCGGAGGGAGAGCCTGTCCAGACGGAGAAGTCCGAGCTTCGGGCGGCACGCGTGACGTTGAGAATCCGCTGCGAGTCGCTGCGGTTCACGAACGCCTGCAGGCCCCGCTCCAGCTCGAACCCGCCGCTTGCCAATCCGACGAGCTTGAAATGCGCCGCGAGCGCGTGCTTGACAAAAAGGCCCCATGCCAGAAGTGGGCTGGCCAAGGCCTTGACTGCTTGGATGGTTGGTGAGAAAGAACAGCGGGTGGAGCTGGGCCCTCTGCGCCCGCCGCCCCCCTGGCACCGCCGCGTGAACTTGGATCGAATTGCCGCGCGGAACAACATCGCTGGCGTTGTCTGCGGGGCTGGCGCCACCATTGGGGCGGCCCAGAGCCAGAGGGGCCGCGCGCAAGCATCCCCCAACGCCTCCCGCACTGTCATGGCCCCCGGAATGGATGCGAGAGCGGCACTCTCGCTGAGCAGCTGCGCCCATCCACCGCGGGGGGGGATTGGTTGACGCGGGTCGGCGGGCGCGCGCGCGAGCCCCGGGTGCTGCTTGTTGATGCTGCCCCAGTGGCGGCACTTCCCCGCGTTCTCACCGAACCCGACGTCGGCGTCGAAAAGCCTGAGTGGCCGCTAGGCCAGCTTGTAGATCCTCTTGGTGCGCGGGGCCCTTGGCCCCCATGCTCCTGTCGCCCATGATCGCCCGCCCCGGCGCGGGGTCGGGGCGCCACGGCGCGAGGGCAGCCGCCATGGCCCCCGGCGCACAGGAGCCCCCCTGCGGGACTTACTTCGTCGGCCATGTCGGCTCGGCGAGCTCATTTTCCACGCGGCACGCTCGGGGGTCGCCCCGAGCGAGCTTGCAATTCTGGATGGCGGTCTCGGGCACGGACTGTATGCAGAAAGCGGCCTCTGCGATGCCGTGGTCCACGTTGTCGTAGGCTTCGGGATAGAGAGAAGAGAACTATGCGAATGCACTGATTCTGGCCAGGCCCATCCCGAGCCCATGATCGGCGCATGCGACCTCCTACCTGGGTCAAGGATGGGCCTTGCCAGGGTCAGTGCATGTGCATCGTTCTCTTCGCCCGATCGAGAGGCCCATCTCGAGCCGGACTCGCAGGCCTCTGCGAGCCAGTGGCTGATCGCGGGCGTCGCGCTCGTGCTCTTGCGGCAAGCCCACTGGATCGGCGCCGGGGCGGGCAGGGCCGCCGCCAATGCAGATGGCAAGGCGCGCAGAAAGCACGCTGACCACCCCAATGGGGCGCGATTCGTTTTCGTCCTTCATCGGGATGCCGACCACCCTCCAAAGGAAAACTAGCAAGGCGAGGTCCTGTGGCGCCCGGCCGGCGCGCTGCGCTGCATGCTCGGACGTCTGGCGCCGCGGCGCGCGCAGCTCCGCGACGGCGAACGGGGCGACAGTCAGCTGCAGCTCGACTTCTTTTGAAGCCCAGCCGTCGAAGCCTGCAGCCCCCTTCGCTTTCTTGAGGCCCCCCACGAATTCCTCTTTCAGACGGTAGCCGAAACTCGTCTTTGTCGCTCTGAGGGAAGGTAGCGTTGTCCGCCCATTTCTGCCAGTTGTCGACCAGGGGTGCGGATTCGCAGCCAGGCGGTCTCCAGCGGGCCTTCCACTGGTTCCGCATGGCGCGCGCATCGAACCCCGCAGCTGGAGAGGCAGCTTTGAAACGAGACGTCGCGATAGCCCAAATTTCTGAGCTCCAGCGTGAGAACATGGCGGGCCATGCCCGCATCTTGCCATTGGAGATCCGCTGCTGCTCGGTCGCGATAGCCGCGCTGACGCGGCCCGGGGCTCCAGCGTAAGACGGCGGGCCCGGGGCAGGGGGCGCGATGCCGTCGAAGCAGGCCTGCGCGACGATGGCCCAGCGCTTGTCCGAGGGCGCGTCGGCGCCGCGGCATCGGGGCTGCAGCTGCTCGGCGAAGCGTCTGCGC